AATGTTCAAACTAGAGATCAGCAACCTTTCCAAATGCAAGCACCATTGTAAGATTTCACGTTGTGTTACCAGCACAATAACTCAAAATTAAAATAAAAAACAGAAATAACAATTACACATTTAAAGAGATTTTTTAAACATTCAAAATGGCCAAAATATCATGATGGAGAGACATTTCCAAATGTGTGTGTGTGTGTGTAAACACACTAGAAGATATTATGAATGTTTTCCAATTTTATTTCATTTATGGATAACTAAACTATCACTGGTTGACTATTAGCAAAACAATAAGAGTGGGCAAGTAACTACAATTTATCTCCATTATGTTAATCCCTAATGTGGGATCTTACACATGCTCAGGTTATATTTTTCTTGTTTATCTCTAACAATTCCTCTGGATGTGTCTTCTGAAATTTCATCTCTCCCAAAGTTCCTAAGAAAACCAAAAGAATCTACACAGAGAGACTACATAGTCCAATCCAAGGTTCCAGTCAAAAAGTCTCTAAGACCGCAGCCAAACAACCATTTGATCCTTGGACAAAAGTCCAAGTACAATCAGAAATCCCTCCAATATTAATAATACTGAACATGGTTGAAATATTCTAATAAATAGGTTGAAGTCATAACAGCATCTAATAACACCCTCTGAGTATTCAGAGGGTGAGGAATAAAAGCCATAAACCAGCTGTAATTCATGCTGTGCTGCCTTGATTGCTCGATTCTTAGCAATTTAGGATGTTTTGACAATGTTTTGGACTCAGCATTACTGTTTGCCTCACTATCTGGATTTCAATTTCATTTATAATTTCATCTTTTGTTTCTGATGTCATCTGCTCCTTGATGAGACCTTAGCAATTTGTTTTTCAGATGATTACTACTAGTATAGTTGATTTTCTCCCAGAGAAGGAAAATAGTATAGAAAGACATCGATGAAAAATAGTGGCAAGGGCAGCTATTTGTAAATGCATATTATTCAATGTGGAAAGCTTGCAGATTGATTTATTTAGGATCTCACCAGCTTTAGCTGATTCTTGATGGTTTACAGTCATTCAAATAAACTCGGATACAATAAGAAACAACAAATAAAAAGCAATAAAAATAAAAGAAGTATGATATTGCATAATCATTCTGTTGGAAGTTAAATCTGATCTTGTGTCTTATTCCAAGCCAGGAGAGAAATGCAGACAGAGGAAAATAAGTTCAAGGCAATCTGCAATTGGAAATCAGATTTATTGGCCCAGAGATAGCAGTGACAACAGCAAACATGTCTGGGGGCATCTGGAAAATTGGTTTGGTCAGTAGATGAGTTTTTATCTGTTTTGGGGGGGCTTTGAAATTGAGACTGCATGTCCTTTATTGTTTAATTGCATTGTAAGATTTCTATCTCTATTATGGTCTGCAAGGGCCTGACCAGCCCTAGAGGTAAAGGAGAAATGTTTGTCTCCCTGATCTAATCCTATTTGACTAATCTTGTCTGTTTCAGTTCCTGGTCTCCTACTCTGCCATATATTTGGACATCGCTTTAACCAAGTCCAACTTTACAATGTATACATTGTTTTACGATTGTGTTAAATTTATGTTTTACCGACAAAGACATAAAGGGAGACCAGTATAGATCTATTTCAAGCTATTTAGCTCTCATCAGCTGGCCATACCCTATGGGATTTGAACCCGGAATACTTACATATTAGTAGATGTATTAAACAGAAACAGTATGCTTGGTCCCATAATTGGGTAGACCAGGCTGCCCTGATAGACTGGTCGCACCAGAGAAAAAAACATTTAATTGTTTTTTGAATGAAACTTAGTTTCTTTAAGCTTTGCCTGCAGGCTGTTTTAAGCTTAGTTTCCTTATAAACTTTGCCTCCAGGAAAGACTACAGCTGCTTTTCAAAAGTATCCCCAGCCTTTGTTAAGGAGATTGTTTTTTCCCTCTTCTCCTTTAGGGGAAATATTCTATTCTGCTTCTTAAAATGTTCTGTGGAATATTATATTCGGGGGGGGGGGGGGGGGGGCCTTCCTACAATTCATACCCAAATAGGTCCAAATAGTCTCTATTTTCAAGGCCTTTGTAAATAATGCCAATATCAGCACAACTGAATCTGAGTGAAGGATGTCCCAGAATATAAGAGTCATAACAGAAAAGGAATGCCTTCTGGCCCCAGCTTCTAATGATGGGGTATTCTTAGCTTCTCTTAGCTGGGGTATCTGTCATCTTCCGCCTGTGGGGTATCCTTAGCTTCTCTGAGATGACTGTATTGAGTCCTTCCACCTGGAGAAAGTGGTCCTGTTGGAAGCAATATCCTTCTGGGTTCAGTTCCAAGTGGGGAAATTGACACTGGAAACATGGAGGCTGTTTGGGAAGATGGTTTAATGTTGGGCAGAACCACATGCCTTGGAGCTCCTGGGCGAAAAGGGCAGAGATGCTGAGAATCCCTTGGTTTCATACCCTCTGTTGGGCCCCACCTTAATGTTTCCTGTTCCTGTGTAAGAAATGTATCCCATTGGCTGTCAGACTCCCAGGGGCGGGGATCTTAGCTAACTTTGTAGACTTTGTCTGGACCACCTGGCTTCACCTGAGTGCTGGCTAATGCAATCTTCCCAGGTGCCATGTGGTGAGATGGGTAATCCTATCATTTCCTGAGGACCATGTCTTAATCCCATCATCCTGGAGCTGAAGAGGGGGGGCAGGGAGCTTCAGGAAGCTGCTTTGTCTTTAAAACATGTTTCTCCTTTTCTTCATCCAGGGAAGTATAATATTCTGTCTTTTTAATATTGCCTAGAATATTTCATTCTTCCAGGAGAGGGGTGGGTGCTCACTTTCTACAGTCCTAAAAACATCTCAGTGCCAATCAATGCAGGACTTTAAAAGCAGTGCCAATTCAAGTGTATTGAAGTTGACATATAAGTAGTGCTTGAGGGCAGATGTTCAATTCCCAGAGTTCACTTTAGAATTCCCATTGGATTCACTAAGAATTCTGGGAGGAGGAGTAGCACCAGCGGTAGCACCAGCACAACTATAGGCATCAGGAAGGAAAAGGCCGCTATAAGATATAAACATTATAGGTTAAATGTAGCTGTTAACTTATGAAAATTGTACTTAATCTTCCAGGACATAGTTACGCCTGCATATATTTTGTTTATTAAATTAAATGAGTTTTTTTTAATCATCAGAAACTACTTCTGGAAGAATAATGAGAGCAGATCGCACAACAAGGCAAACTAAGTGTTGATTGTATCATCAGAGCACTACAATTATTCAACCAGAACTCACACAGTGAAGATTTAATAAAATTTCTGCATGGGGTATAGCATGGCAGCTGGGTGGAATCAAGGAAGTTTACTGGTCTTGTGTGAATTATATGCATTTTAATGGCTTTAAAAAATGAAAACTGAAGCCCAATCCAGATCATTGTGAAGTATCTACCATGTCTTCTGCCATAACATGGTACTGTTTATTTCTTAAATATTGATACCATTATTTCATAAATACCAACTTGTGTTGGACCTAACAGATAAACCTAACAGATAAACTTTTATCAAAGGCTATCAATACTGAAAATATATTCGATTATTTTGCCCAAAAAAAAAAGATAGTGTTTACAAAGAAGGATAGGTGGTGTTCATTATAAAACTTTTATGAGGAAGCAACCTTAGGATTCTCCCTGCAAACAGTAGAACTGCAATCAACCAGCAGCACATATACAAGGAAACATTTCACCAATAAGTTTATTTTAAACAAAAGCTATTAAGTCATAAGAAAAGTGAAATTCCAGTGAATGCTATATATGAAATGCAAGCCTTATTTATACTAAAATGAGGAGCATCTGCAAACTGAATAAAAAATCAAAATGGTGTTGCAACATTTAACTGACACCTAAAACTTTTTGTTGTTGTTGCATGTGTTGCATGTTTAAAAAAAATAGTAGGGCCTCCAAATGACTCCACTAGAAGATTAGAATTATATTTTATTGAAACAGGTTACAGTAATTCCCTTTCATATCCAACCCCATTGGATATGAGTCACAAGGTGTGGGGGGGCACTTGGAGTGTTTTTATAATAGTTTACCAGCTCCCTGGACTTAATGCATGTTTCTGCACCTGTTGTTGTCCTAATTAATTCTGTATATCTTTTCCAAGACCTTCTCTGTGGCTGCTTCTAAAACTGCATTTTTTGACTTCCCATTCTAGTGGGATATCTCAAAATGAAATCAAGATTCAAATTTCACATTTTTACCACCCAATGAACTTCTAAGTTTTCTCACTTGGACAGAAGAGATGGTTTCTACGTCTTCCTTGTTAGGGTAATAGACTAGTCTAGTTTCCATATGTCTACTTCTGATGTTACAGAGACATAGTGCAAAAGCTGAGAAAAATAAAAGCAAATAACTCTGTGGATTATCCCAGATACTTGAGAGGACATAAAATTGCAGGAAAATAGTAATTGAGTCTTTTAAAAGTAATTAAAGAATGAAAAGCATTTTAAAGAAGGAGTAAATACAGTAATATACTTCTTACAAATAGATAGAATTTTAGACCTCTTGTCTTTCACCTGTTGTCCTGCATAGAAATCTGTAATAATCCACTGAGTGCTGTAAATCTGTTTGTCAATATACCGCCTTTGGAAGAACCAGATGATTTTTTTACAATATTATATTTACAATAATTGATGCTTCTTGTTTGCATGACCTTTTCAACACTGTCATCATACAAGTTGTTATATTGATAGATTTCATATTAATAAAAAGAAGGAACTCACGGGTGCAGGGCACAGGATACTTCATATCAGATTCAACTTCTAGTTAAATATAGCTTAATTCATGAGGATTTCACTGAGAGTTTTTTTACTAAAATACTCTGAATGCTATATCATGTGCAGAGTGTGTGTGTGTGTTATATTTGTATATTTAACAAATATGTAGGAGGATGGCAAATAAATTATATATTTATAAATATATTTGCCATCCATCTATATATTTGTTAAGTATATATTTCTTATATATCGCTTCTCGGCCTTTTGACTAAGATCAAGTGTAGTATCTTATATATTTATTGCTATATATTTGAATATATATTTGTTAAAAGTATATAATTGTACATTTGGCTATGCAAATTCGTTAAATAAATTTACCAAGGCCACCCAAAGCATAAAGGTCATCCCAGCTGCCTTGCTAAAGCAAACAGGGACCTATATTGGATAATAGCAATATAGGAAGATGCTGGATGTAAATGATCACTTTGGTGACAACGGCAAAGGTCTTAATTCATACTGTATTGGAGAAGGCAATGGCAAACCACTCTTGAATTTTACCAAGAAAACCACATGGATAAAGAATATAAAATGATTGATAAGAAATTTACAGAAATACAATGAAAGCATGGGATAGCAATAGCTATAGTATTTAGGATTATTATACCACCCTGTAGAGCTTCACAGCGCTATCTGGGCAATTTACAATGTCAATAGATTGCCCTTAACAATCTGGATTCTTATTTTACTGACCTTGGAAGTATTGAAGGCTGAGTCAACCTCAAGCCCCATCAGGATTGAACTCCAGGATGGGGCAGAGTTAGCCAGCAATACTGTAGTTTAACCACTATGCCACTGGGATCCTGCTGGAATCTAAGAAGCATGAACACGGAACGCTTGACACAGTAAAAAGTGTTGACAATTACAAATTGACATATTAAATTGAGAAGGATTGGGATTAGATACTTTCAGTCTGATCACTGTGTCACTATGATCACTATGTTTATTACTCAAGACATGAAAAATAAAGAAAAATGGTTTTTAAAAAATGAAAATCTACTGACATTTCAAGATGAAATGTATAGAAATCAAATTTCCTATGTTATTACTAAAAGAATGTGAAAGAGTTCAATTATAACATCAAAGACATCATCAGATCTATCTGTTGGACAGATCATGAACTCCTCACATGCAAGTTCCAAGTGGAACTGAGAAGAAGAAAGTCAACAGTTTCCACAAATGGTCTAAATATAGTCATAGTCATAGAATCTATATTGGGCAAGAAATTTGTCTTGGTGCAAATACTCTCAGTATACATAAAAGAAAAGATACATTCATCAAGAATCATAAGGTACAACACTTAATGATAGCCACAATTTTCAAAGAGAACTTCAGCAATCATCTGAAGCCCCGAGCCACTTTGACATAGAACCAGAGAAACTGGAATTAACTTAAAGAACTCATTAAGCAGGAGTGTGAAAAGAAACTGTCAAAGACAAGGAAATAGAAGGAAGCAGATTTGATAGAATAAAGTCTGGAAATTGTAAACAAGAGACAACAAAGTCATTAATGACAAAAAAAATAGGGATTCAACAGTAGCTGTAAAAACACTAAATATGCAAAGATAATGGAAAAACAAATCCTCAAAAAATTTGTGAACTCAGAACTTCCATCTTTAAATTAAAAACTTTACTTTAAATATCTATGTTTGTCTTGTTATGTGACATGATATATAAAGAAGCCATTGTTTAAATTTAGTCAGAAATTCAGTCTTGAATGTCTAGTTTTAATTTTATCATTGCTACATATCAAGTGTGATTTCCCAATCTGATATCATCAGCAAAGTATTTCTACTTCAACGCTGAAGCTAAATTGTTAATTGGCTTACTTTTTTCACTCAAACTTTAGGCCACACTGCTGTATGAATAACTACTTAAATACACTTAACTAGTTGAACTGGTAGATGTTTAGATGGAGCTAGAATCAAAGAATAAGTAATGATAAATAGTTTGCTTATAAAAATCTGCCACATTATTATTTCCTCTGCTAATACACACACACACACACACACACACACACACACACACACACACATTGTTAGTCGCGAAGTCATGTCCGACCCATCGCAATCCAATGGACCTTCAGGCCTTCTTGTCCTCTACCATCCTCCGGAGTCCATTTAAGCTCACACTGACTGTTTCAGTGACTCCATCCGGCCACCTCATTTTTTGCTGTCCCGTTCTTCTTTTGCCCTTAATCCTTCCCAGCATTAAGCTCTTCTCCAGTGAGTCCTTAGGTGGCCAAAGTGTGTGTGTGTGTATCTTAAATTATTAAGAAATTAATAATATTAAGCTATATGTGTTGTAATCTTTGTACCTTAAGAGATGCCATCTGACATTTTTTGTATTTTTCTTGTTTCCTCTGTGTGAAATTCATTTTTGTATAAAAAGCTATATATAGATCTAATTGTGTGGCAGTTATCAGGTACAAGCAACCAGGTCCACATGTTCAAACGCGATACTGTAGTATATTCTGTCTGTTATTCAAGAATCTTCTTTGACTGCCAGCCTCCTCTGGGAACAAATGAATAAGATTCTTTGGAGCTTAAGGGCGTCAATTCTGCATCTCCTGTGGCTTGGAGGGTACTTCAATGCTTCATGCCTGCCTGCTACGTGGCTGGCATTTCCCAACAATAGTGTGCTGGTCTTGAAGTTCAAAGATACGTGGATGGCATTAATTTACAACTTCTTGAATCATAGCCTAGCTTTAAACTAGGGCAGTAGAGGAAAAACTAACAAATACAATCCTGTATGAAATAAATATTTTGAATCTTGCCTGCTTAGAAGACTGAAGGGTGTGGCATTCATTTACTACAATGTAAATTCATATAAAGAGTCAAGGTAACTCTTAAAGTAGCAAACTAATAGATTTTAGTTTAGTACAATGTAATTTCCATACACACACACACACACACACACACACACACGCAGAGTATATATACTGGGTAGGAGGAGACATCTTCGGTGGTTTACTGCATCAACAGTGGTGATTGTGCAAGCAATTACATAAGGGAAACAACCAAGTGGCTACAGACCAGGATACACAAACACAAACTGGCTGTCCGGTGCAAAGAACAGTGCTCTCAGATCTGGGCACATATGCAGGAGCATAATCACACACTCAGCTTTCAAGAAGCTGAGGTTGTTGCCTGGGATATGACCAAAGGAGGACGCCTTTTAAAAGAAGCCTGGTTTTCAACAGCAATTCTATCAATAGGCATATCGAACTACCACTGGCCTACCAGGCACTGAGACACCAAGAAAGACCCTGCAGGAGGAGCAGAGATCACTTCTCATTGGGAAGCAGGGACCGATGGCGCCCCCTATCCTTGGACATGTGGACTCACCCTATGAAGTCATAGACAGGCCTGTCCAAATACAAAGGAGCTTGGCAGAGCTGCCTCAAGTTATAGCAGAAAGGAATAATGAAGAATGAGCTGGGCCAACTACAAGGTCACGAGGAAAACAAATTAAGATAGCTGGCATGTTAACATCACCTCCTAGAGATAAACATTCCAGGCTGGGTCAGGCAGCAATAACAAGAGATAAGCCTCTTTTGACCAACCTGACAGAGGTAAAAATAGCAGAACTAATTACGGATGGGAGGCAGTTGAGAGGGCCTAACACACATGCAGAGGGTTAAATTGGTTAATGTTATATAAAGGCAAACATATCTGTAATGGTAGCTTAAAACTCTGACAATGTCAGCAGAGGCTGATGAAAGCTCACTAAGTACATTAAATGTAATTTTAGGTTCTGGAGATCGCAGGATGTCTGTTTCTTCTTTTACATATTTTTATTTTATTTGACAGCTGGAAAATGTGAAATTGAAAAAAATGAAATAAAAATATGACAAGATATTGACTAAATATTATGAAAATTAGAAGCTGTCTAGCAAGCAGTCACATTGAAAACAAGTATAAAGGATTTCAAATCAAATCAAGTTTATTACAGCCAAAGACCAGATACCAGAACAAATAAAAATGTTCAATGATTATCCAGTTTAAAATTCTAGAATAAAATAAATAACAGATCCCCAGTGCTGCGGCGCAGAATTTAGCCACTTGTGCTATAGTCACAGTCTGTTCGTCCTTAATCAGCCACTGAAGATAAGGGGTGTCAGAACGGCCAGGATACCTATTGATTATTTGGAGGATCTGTTTTTTTCCAAATATCTCTATAGAAAGAGCATTGAAGGTCTATGTGTCCAACGGTCTCCGCCTCTCCTGAGCCACAGGAGCAGAATCTTTCAACCAATGGTATCTTTTTATACTTGCAGTACGGGATAGTCGATTAGAAGCACATGACACCAGGCGAGTGAAAATGCTTTCTGGTGGTTTGCTGACTCATCTGGCTAAGATAACTGGTAGGAGTAACAACATATCTAATAGTGTCTGGAGCTAGAAACAACACTTTCCCTAAGTCTGTTTGCCTCTTGATGTCCTCTACCCTTTGTCCCAAGGTTTGTTTTGTGTGGTTGTAGACCAACTTGAGAATTGAGGCTGGAGAGAAGCCTAGTTTGGCAAGGTTGGACTCAACAACCTTGATCCATGAAGAGGAGAATTTGTCTTGGAGGATTAATGAAGCAAGACTTTGCAGGAAAAAATTAAGGTTTCGTTTAGCCAGAGATTTAAAGAAGCTATAGAGATTCTTGCTTCGACGTTTATCAATCTTGTCTCCAGACACAGAAGTGCATTTGAGACACAATGCAGCATGTGGAGAATTGCTCTAATAAATTTGTATTGGACTGTTTCCAATGGTGTAACATGATGCTGACGATCGGAGCAGGCTCCATGAAGAAGCTGTGCTAACAACTTGGCTAGAAAGAGCTTAATTGAGGCAAGAACACAGAATCTTCCCTTTGTGCAGAAAAAATTAAAGATGGTTTTCACTTATATATATATATATAAAGGATTATATAGTCATAGAAGTATACAGTTTTACTGATGAAAGCAGAGATCAGTGATAGATGGTAAATAAATAGATGACATAAATACAGATATCTGACAACACAAAGCTTTATTACTGAAGATTTTGGGATCAATGAATTAATGCTTTTTGCAAATACCAAAAAGACTTGCCACTTTTGGAAATCAAGTTTTTCATGATAATTAATTTAAATTGGACAGGAATTGGTCTTTTCCTCTTTTTCTGTAATTCTAGTTAAAATCCCCAAGAAAGGCAATACAGATTAGGAAAAAGCTCCTATTGGTAACATTGGAGTGTCTTTTTCTTCCCCTAATGTTAATTATCACTAAAGGGAATTATTGTTATTATGAACACTAATAAGGAAGAAGGGATTAACTTCTGCCCATATTCTGCAAAATCAGTTCGGCTGTGCCTAGAAAAATTTGGTTTTTCTATTTAAAAAAAAACA